CTTTTTGGAGGCATGGTGGTGGTTTAAAAAATGTAAACAATGGTTGCTAAGGGAAAATTTGATAGGGTGACCGGTCGACCGGGATGACCGGTCGGCCGGGAATCACGTTAGATAAGTGGCCACACCGGCCACCCAATACACAACACATCCATCGCTTCCCGCACCTCAGAACCAAGGCATCCGTTTTTGTTGCCTAACTGTATGTAGTGTTCAAGACAGCATCGTTTACACGGACACACACTCCTTCCATTTTACGATATTGTTATTTTATCTCCAGTTTCGCCGCTTGATCACGTACGGTTACGATTACTTGAGTGATCGTTTACTTGGACATTTGCTTTGCTACTACACACTCTGCCACACGAACACGCTTTGGATATGGGTGCTTGCGTGTCTCTGCGATGGACTAGTCTGCACTACGCAGACGTCCAGCGAGCGCTTCCCATCTTTCACTAGTTAGTTAATGTCTGTATGGTTAGGCCCAATGTGGGCCTATACAGACTACTAGGTAGGCGGAGAATACACAATACCGTGTGGAAACCGTTGTCGGTTAGTAATTTTGCTTATTGATCTGTCCGCACAAATTGTCAGATTCGGACCAGTATTGAGAATTTGTCGATTGAAGAGGAGGACACGCTAACGCTAGCAGCAGGATGATTCAGCGCATACCCAATCTCCTATCTGTTCTGTATAGTAATCGGGTATTCTCAAAGAAGAAGTCCTGTAACACGCTAAACAACCCCTGAAGTATGACCTTCTGAACAGGGGCCTGCAGATAGTTCTCAAGAAAATCGATCAATCGCTGAATTGTTCAATTGGCCCTCATGAGTACTAGTCGATACCGATATCCGAGAATCTGACAGGATTTACTGCCTGTCAATTTGAACCATACATTCGTCATACCTGTAACCTGTATTTTCTGTCAGTAGATTTTGGTCAGGATGAGGAATCGATGTACTGGCTAATACTGAACATGGCCAATAGAATCAGATGATTGATTGAAGATGTTGAGATCTTAGTAGCATCTGCGTTGGAGAAACGATCGAAGAATATAGGCGGTGAAATTAATCCTGAGACGTACTGTACAGCAGCTTCTTATGTCTTCTCTATCTTCATTCCTGCATTTCGGAAATGGCCTTTCAGGTTCGGCCTTTGAGGCTCAATCGCCGAAGATGTCCGTTTCATGACTTATGCTGATAACTTCCTTCACATTTAATACGTGCTTCTTGCTGACCCACTCACTTACCGACTGCGTTGGTATCGCACAAATTTGTTTTGCCTTCCTGACATCCCTCCAGCGCCCAAGCCGTTCTAGCTGAGAAACCATCATTCAGCCCAAGACCCGAGTTTGAACCCCAAGCCAAATCAGCAAAGCTTACACCATGACTTCACCCCCCTTGCCTGTTGACTCCGCATTGGATGCTATTGGAAATACCCCTGTCGTGCGTCTCCGTCGCGTGGTTCCGGAAGGCCATGCCAACGTCTTTCTGAAGCTTGAATACTTGAACCCGACCGGTTCGTATAAGGATCGTATGGCGAGGTCCATGATTGAGCAAGCCGAGAATAAAGGGAAGCTGCAGCCGGGTATGACAGTTGTGGAAGCCAGTGGTGGCAGTACTGGCTCTTCTTTGGCATTTGTCTGTGCCATCAAAGGATACCAATTCAGGGTGGTTTCTTCCAACGCCTTTGCAGTCGAAAAGCTACGGACTATGCGTGCCCTGGGTGCCACATTCGACTTAATTCACAGCCCATCCGGCTCCGTCACAGCAGATCTTATCCCCTCTATGATATACCATGCACAAGGTGTTGCCAGCCAGGAAGGACACCTCTTCATCGACCAGTTCAATAATACGGACAGTCTCCCCGGGTATGAGTTAATCGGCAAAGAACTGATTGAACAATTCCCAGATGGAATTGATGCCTTCTGTGGCACGTTTGGTGCGGCTGGCATGGTCACAGGGGTGTCTCGAGTGCTCAAATCGAGGTGGCCAGAGACACGATTCATAGTCCTAGAGCCGGAATCTTCACCCGTCCTCACGGAGGGTCATGCCGGCTCACATAGCGTGGAGGGCGTTGGGGTGGGATTCATCCCACCTCACCTCAATCGCAGCTCATATGATGAGGCATGGGGTATCTCCGAAGAGGAGGGGCGTACTATGTGTCGGCGACTTGCCCAGGAAGAGGGACTGCTTGTGGGAACTTCCACTGGTCTTAATGTCGTCGCTGCCATTGCCCTGGCCAAGGAGCTAGGTCCTGACAAGACGGTGGTCACCGTTGCTGTTGACACCGGACTTAAATACATGAACGGAAACCTCTTCGCTGATAACGGAAATTAACGAGGATGGGATCAGCGTGTAGTACCAAATTGAACAAAGACTTGACAGTATCATTTCGGTTACTTGATGTTGAAGAGTTGTACTTGCCCATGATAGTTTAGTATCACTTAGGTCGGCTTTCAATCATTGCCATTGCTTTCCATTCCCCTATCAACCCAATTCGTAATCGCCTGCGTCCTTACAGGTTACATACTTTGCTTCACAAGGACACGATCAGCCTTCCGCGCATGTTAGATAGAATATAATTTATCAGCGGGCTCCGCTCACCACACCATCAGACAAACCTGGAGTCAGGAGTTGACTACGCGGGATCCCCAATCTCCGCATTAGTCCAGCGACCAACGTGAGGACCAAATCCGCGACACATAAACCCGCGTCTACTTGCTATTTGCACCCCCATCAATGGAAGTATTGGGTGTCAGTACGATGCATGGTTGGTCTGCTGTCCTCCTTTCTTCACCTTCGAGCATGATTCCATTTCAATTGAAAGTCCTGGAAGTCTTCACGGGCCCATGGGCCGGTCTTGGTCGGTTTTAGTCGAAGATCGTGTACAGGGAAGAGAGCAGGTGCGCGTTGAATAGCGAGGGCATCGGTAATTTGGGGGGAAGGGGGGTTAACATGGCTGTACGAGGGGTGGAGGTATTAGATTTGAGCTTGATATGTGTAGTAAATAAACCAAATCATACCATACTGAGCCCAGATCACTCACCAGAGTGTCAGAGTCGGCCATGACGGTTTGTGAAGGATAAGTTGTCGAGTTGGAACATTTTGGGAAATTTGTTGTATTATCAATGTCGGCGTAGTGATGCCGGTATACCGGAGGATTTATTTATCCAGGATGTTTTGTAATTCATATAATCATTGCTCCATAGCTACAAATTGTTAGGAGAATAAATACAGAAATAAAGAGTCTTGCACACCATTAATTAAACCCCTATATTTCCAATACGGAATACACCAATAAATAGCTTACTATTCTTGCATCATTGTGGTAAAACTGGCCCTCAATTAACGATTATTCATCTGGATCGTCTCATTTATGTTCTAACTTCTACCTACGGGGATCCACCAGTACCATTCTCTGCAGATGATATCATCCGCCGAGGTGATGACCAATCCACCCTGCATTTCTAAGCTTCAGCAATAGTAGCCTGCCAGAGACCTTTATATAGCTCTCTCCATTCCCAGTTCATTGCACTCGCCTAAAAGACATCATCCCCATATCAATCATGGCTTCCAAGTCTATCGCAATTATCGCCGGCGTCGGCCCGGGCACAGTACGGTCTACTTATACATCCAGCCCCGCTATATAAGTACAGCACTAACAAAACGTACAGGGCGCCTCGATCGCGAGAAAGTTTGCTAAGGCGTACACTGTTGTTGTTTTGGCCCGAAACCCAGAAAACTTCGACCCAGTCGTTCAGGAGATCAATGCCAGTGGTGGCCAAGCCTTCGGCATCAGCACTGATGTCTCAGACTCAAAGAGCGTGAATGCCGCCTTTGACAAGATCGCATCTCAATTCCCATCCTCCAAGGTTATCGCTGCGGTGTTTAATACTGGCGGCGGCTTAGTCCGAAAGCCATTCCTTGAACTTACTGAGCAGGATTACTCAATCGCACTTGCATCTCAAGCGTATGTTTTTTTCCCACATATTTTGCTCTCGATGAGAGCATATCAAAAAGCATAGGGATTTTGGGGTGTGGTACTAATTTGTATAATAGACAAGGTGCTTTCAACTTTGCTCAACACTCTCTCCCTCTCCTCTTGGATTCCCGTGAATCCTCCGAGTATCCTCCAACTCTGATCTTCACAGGAGCTACAGCCAGCTTGAAGGGTTCAGCTAACTTTGCTGCTTTTGCCTCAGGCAAGTTTGCACTGCGCGCGTTAGCACAGTCGCTTGCTCGTGAGTTTGGACCGCAGGGTGTGCATGTCTCACATACCATCATTGACGGTATCATTGACATACCCCGGACGAAGGCATGGGCCAATGAACACGTGGATGGGAAATTGAGTCCTGACGCTGTAGGTGCTATCTCGTTTGGTATATTGGTTTAGTCACTGACTTGCGTTAGATTGCGGACTCGTATTGGTATTTGCACACTCAGCCGCGGACGACGTTTGCCTTTGAATTAGATCTACGTCCGTATGTTGAGAAGTGGTAAACGTTTGATTTGAGTCCCGGGGGGCCTTTTAATCAATTGTGCATAACCTGAAAGAATTGACTCACTTTTATTTCCAAACAATTGGTGCGAAGAAAGAGCCAGGCTACTTCCACGGGCAAGCCCAGCAGTCATCAGTTTTCTCAGTGCTCAACATCTGGGGACTGATCTATGATTCGTTGATAATCTTTATTTTAATTTATTTCTATTCCAACCATCGCTAAGCTGGCACAAATGGAGACGAATGAGATATTTTGGCCTGCATGGGGCACCTGCAGTCTGAACACTGGCGACATAGGCCTCATTGACGGAGGGCTACCGCGCTGTGAGGGCTGCGGACGGGCCTGTGGCACTCCTTATGTTCTAGGAGGAATAATAGCTATGCGGGAGCATACGCGGTACATACATGAGGGGTTCCGCGGTGGGCAGGAAAGAAACCGTCGTGGAGAGAGCCCGGCTCTCCCTCGAAACGAACATCGCCGTTTCGAGGGAGAGGATATCCAAGCGATATTTGTGTGCGATGTCCAGCACGGAATATCGTGGGCCCGATGCAATGGCTCTCGCGCAACAGTCCCGAATGGAACCTATCATATTATCTGATCTCATTTTGGTTGGGTATCTACAGCCTTCTAATATCTGGCGGATTTCCCATTATGCAAATTCTGCACCAATATAACAGGGATCATAAAAGTGTATACAGTGCCACTGATGAAGTATTGGGCAATCTCTACATGAAAATTTCGAAGCGAGTATACCGTTTCATGCATCGCTTTCGCCCTGGTTTGGCGTCTTTTTTCACCTCTTTTCCCCTCATTTTCGAGTGCCTCAGGTTGTATGTGCTTGGTGGGTTAATCATATAAATTGTATAGTGGTGGTATGAAAGGACTCACGGTCCATGGCTATATGCTCAACTAGATAAATCTCCCTTCCTCTATACTGCCTGGCAACGTAATACTCATTTCGAGAAGCAGAGTGTTGTCGAAAAGTCCTTCCATACTGAATAAAAACACAGACGAACATCAGAACGGCACAAGCAATACCGAGGATGACGATGAAGACGATTTCCAAGACCCACCTTGGCAACCCACGGCGAAAGTGCCAATATAGACAGGGGTCCGAGCTTCGGTAGCCTCTCGCAGATGCTAGGAGGTAAACCTGAGATTGTAGGGGATGCGAGTGAACCGAATGGAGGAGCATGGAAACCCGACGTAAAGATTGTCAGAGCTGCCATCGCGTTTGCAATGGAGACGGGACGGTTGGCTCCTGAAACCTGAATCAGAGACCGCGCATGTGGTAACGCTATCAAATGTACATTTCCTACGGAGCGGTGCACACACTAGCTAGAGGGCTACATACGACCTAAGGTCGTGAAAAGCCCGAGGAATAAATATTAATAGTAATAATAATAATAATAATAATAGCCAATTCAGAAGACAAGGTATTTATGATTCGTCCGTGTGATTGGGTCCAAAGCTGTTCCGATAAACATAGAAACCAAGACACAAGTGGAACTAAACCATTCGGGTGTATTTTTCATCGGCAAGGCTAACTCAATTTGCAGAACAGATGCGCTAGCACGAACCTTAGTAGAACCCACTCCCGTCGGACTCTATTAATCCGTCCGGCGCGGAACCTCCCATCTTGCCATAACATCCGGTGTCAGCAATGCAGTTGAGTGCTGTGCCTGGGCTTTAGCCGACTTTGGCGACTACATTCTTGTTGGTTGTCCATATTTCAATGCCTTCAAGACGACATTTGGAACACGGCCAGGGTAAGGTATCCATACCAAATTTCCGATACAGCTGAACTTACTGTTATAGAATTGGACTTGAAGTCACCTTCGCAACAACGGTTGAAGGCGTGCGCCGAAGCGAAGAGCAAAGACTTTTGTGTCAAAGCACTCCCATTATATTCACCACATAATACGCTCGCTTTATTCCCATATTTTGCTCATATAAAACCCGATAAATTATTGAAGATTCATCTAGAACGCTACTACCCCGTAAATGTCCTAAGAGAGTACATGGAGTTCTGTACCAGAAATGGACTTCGTCTGAATACGCATTGGCTTTGGATTTCGAATCAACACGAGATCCCCACTTCTTTTTCGGTGCTTAGTTGAAGCCGAGAGCGAACGTTGGACTGGGAACTGCAAGAGATTTCGTGCTTTTTCGTGCTTTTTCGTGCTTTTGCATGCTTTGACTAGTCGATTTTCTAACTTTCACGGTGTTCTGGGCCTTTTTCCGATCCTTATTCATAATGTGGCGTCCCCATCGCAACGTAGTATCCAGAGTCGCGGATATAGTGGAGGAGCGAAGGGCCAATCTTACAATAGCGAATGAACTAATTCTCCACGGCCCCTTTTTTTCATACAAAGCTTTGAAATCTTTAACTCCAAATCTTATCCCCTTCTAGAACAGCTACGATGTTATATTGCCCTGAGAGTCCTATGGCCCCTGTTTCGTTCTTTCCCAATGTTGTTTTCTCTCACACACTTGGGCAGTGCTGCCACATATATATCTACGTACACGGGTATTTAGAGCAACCATGAATCCCCAACCATTTGACTCAACTATAACCATACCTCGCCTCAGTATGGAACACGGTTCCATCGAGGGGGGCGTCACCAACAACACTGTTCATAATAAGAACGAAACAGATATCGAGAAAGCGGTCGACACCCCACAACAGTCTGATGACTCCAGCGCAGATCCCAACCTTGTCGACTGGGATGGCAGAAATGACCCCGAGAACCCCCAGAACTACAGTAATCTGCGCAAATGGGCCATCACATTGACTATGTCCTCTATGACTATGTGGATCACCTTTGCATCCAGCGTCTTTTCGACTGCGACACTGGTGACCGCGAAGGAGTTCAATGTATCGGCTGAAGTAATGGTTCTCGGCACTAGTCTGGTTGTTTTTGGTTTCGCTCTAGGTCCCCTGTGCTGGGCACCGCTGAGTGAGCTATACGGTCGTCGCATCCCGCTGTTCTCAGGCTACCTCATCTTTGCTATCTTCCAGATCCCCGTGGCCGTCGCCCAGAACCTCGAAACCATTCTGGTCTGCCGATTTTTCATGGGTGTCTTTGGTTGCTCTCCTTTAGCCGTCGTTGGCGGTGCCCTGGCTGATATTTGGGACCCCGTGGACCGCGCAGTGGCTGTCGCTCTCTTCAGCTCGGCTACTTTTATGGGGCCTGTTCTTGGCCCAATTGTGTGAGTACTGAAATCACCTCAAGATATCTTTAAAAGACATTTCCAAAGCACTATCCAGAAACTAATATTCTTCAGCGGTGGTTTCCTCACGGATTCATACCTTGGCTGGCGCTGGACCGCATGGATCACCTTAATTGCATCCGCCTTCTTCGGTTTAATTGCTCTCTTTGTCGTTCCTGAGACCTACGGCCCAGTCCTCTTGCAAAAGAGAGCTGCCCGTCTTCGCATTGAAACCAATAATTTGGGCCACCATTCCTACTTGGATCTACACAAGCCCAAAATGTCAGACATCGTTACAAAGTACCTCTTCCGACCATTTCAGATGCTCGTGCAAGAGCCGATCCTGGTTGCTATGACCATCTACCTCGCCCTAGTTTACGGAATCCTCTACCTCTTTTTCGAGGCCTACCCATTTTCTTTTGGTGAAATCCGCGGTTGGACCCACGCAGGCATAGCTGCCATCCCATTCATCGCCATTATTATCGGCGTCTTGCTCGGTGCCTGTCTCATCATATACACCACGAAGACTCGTTTTGCGCGCAAACTTGCAAAGCATGGCAAGGTCGTTCCCGAAGAGCGCCTCGTGCCAATGATGATCGCCTCTGTATTGCTGCCAATCGGTCTGTTCTGGTTCGGCTGGACTTCCAGCCCAAATATCTCCTGGGTGCCACAGGTCATTGCCGGCGTGCCTATTGGTCTGGGTATCCTGGTTATTTTTATGCAGGGTCTCAACTACCTCATTGATGTGTACATGATGTTTGCCAACTCGGCCATCGCGGCAAATACTCTCGTCCGTTCGACATTGGGTGGCGCGTTCCCGCTATTCGCTACACAAATGTACCAGAATCTAGGCGTACCTTGGGCATCTAGTGTTCTGGGTTTCATTACTGTGGCTATGATTCCCATTCCTATTTTGTTCTTTATCTATGGGTCCAGAATTCGCGCTATGAGCAAGTTTAGTCCTAAGTTCTAGGCAATTGATCTGCCTGTCTGTCTCACATTTTCAGGCGCACAATCAATACGTAGATCTCATTGGGAGCTTGCTTTTCACATGCATTATTATGATGGCAGCTCTGTGTGGTGAGGTCGCCTTTGATACAGAAGACCTGTCCCATGTTCTATGATAGAAATTTACAAGGTCTAAACGAGGATCCAAATTCTGTGCAATATTTTCAGAGCAAACTAAAACAGTATGGACTAGTATACATTGTAGATGAATGAGATCAAACGGAATCAATCAAGGATGGTAGAACTGATTGAAGAAGAAAAGAACACCCTCAAGGGTAGGTTGAAATACCCCCCAAAATGGGCCGATACTTGGTGGTTACAACATCGAGATTACCAAGATAACTTGTTTAAAAGAAATGTGGATCCAGAAGCAACGAATCCTTTGCTAGCGGTAAGTTGCCGCTCCATAGTTCTCACAAGTATTAATGATTTGATTCTCCGTATTAACACACATGCTCGTCCATCCAATCATGCGCCACCGCGTACGCTACAGTAGCCTCGTAATGGAGGTTAATGCAGTGTCCGATATTGTCGATCACGGTGACCGAAAAGCTGGAGGCAGCGGGAAACAGAGACGACACACGGGCTGGGCCTGAGGTCTTCCCCTGTCCACATTCGCCGCCCGGCCCTGAGCCATCCAAGGTCTCATTGACAAAGCAAAAAGTCGCGTCTTGGTCGCCCGTAATCACCGTCACCGGGCCAGAATAGTTAGTCGCAACCTTTGCCAGGCTAGCCGTAGCCATTTCCCCCACGGAAACTGTCTGTTGGATATCAAAGTCGAGTGTAAACACCTGGGGATCAAAGGTGCCATTGCGGCCGTAAAACGCCTTTTGTCTTCCAGGCTGGGATGATGTTACCAGATACCCGTCATCCAGGCTACCGAATCTGGCCGGAAACGCCTCCTTTGCCGGCAGGAGCCCGGTTTCCAAGACGAGCGGCGAGTCGGACTCGGCAGCGTACCCCGTAAGCATCAGGGCATCGACGGCATTGGGGTACATGGCGGCCAGCTCGACGCCAATCATGGATCCGAGCGAATGGCCAACATAAATGACCTTTTCAAACGACCGTCCGCGGATGATTTGTCCCCGCTTCAGCTGGGCGGCGATCTGGTTGGCCACCGCCGCGTGCAGAGGAATTTGGTCGATGTGGAATGGATTGGGGCGCGAGGAAGCGCCGTTACCAGCACGATCGATCGACAGCGTGGCGTACCCTCTTCGGGTGGCAAATTCCACCCAGGAGTAGAGCCGCGACTGGACGCCCGACATTCCCAGGGCAAACCAGTAGTCCTTGGTGTACGTGATGCCATGGACAAGCAGTTGAATTGCGTCTCGACGGGGGGAGGAGCCTACTGGCTCGCAGTAGCGGGCGCTGATATTCAGCGCAGTGGACTCGTGGGCCCAGGTCGAGCTGTTGGATGTCAGCGCCAGCTCAGACAGCAGGGCGATCACAGAGCTGCCATTGGTGAGGACCGAATCTTCTAATTGACGGTTCCAAGAAGAGGCGTGCAAGGGAATGACGAGATCCGAGCAATCAGCAGGGCTGTTCCAGGGTTTGCTGAGCGACGACGAGATGAAGAGAGTGCATAATGCTACCTTCAGATACTGGAAGTTGAACATGGCGTCCTAAATGTTCCGGCTCGAGTAATGAGGTCCGTGGACAAGATGATGTGCAAAGCAGCTTTTATGGAATTCGAGATGTCTGCTCCCCCCCTGAGCATAAAGACAAAGTTCCACTTCAGCTGGTCAAATATTTTCCCGGCTGTTAAAGTTTAGAGCCTTTCCTAATTTCCGTGGATCAGAGCTGCTGTGGATTGAGAGGAAGATGTGGTGAATAACCGTCGTGACCAGCTTGGACACCCAAGTCAGCCGCCCTCTCATTTCAAAGCATTATTCATCATTAGTTAGTTAACTAAGTGGGCAGGGCGCACCGCTTTGTAAGATTGGTTAGTTATCTAATTATCTCCGTCTCCGAAAGCTTGCTTATAAACAAGCAAACTACGGTACGACATGACTTTAGAGGTGCGCATTTATAAGAATTATTAATCGGTAATTAGACGTCATCTAACTAATTCAACTCGATATTGATTTATCAGCGTTTCTTGCCCAGTTTGCACTATATAATTCGAATCCTGAACTGACTTCCACAACACCAAACAACTCCCACAATGTCTCTCGTCCTAATTACCGGAGCAACAGGCTTTATCGGCTCCCAGGTCGTCCTTCAGACACTGGAAGCCGGTCACAATGTCCACCTCGTCGTCCGCCGCCCCGAGCAAGCCGACAAGCTGCGCCGGATTTTCTCCAAATACAACGAGAAACTATCCTTCGCCGTGCTCCCCGATATCACCGCACCAGGCGGCTTTGACGATGCTCTCCAAGGCGTAGACTACGTTATCCACGTGGCTTCACCCATAGCTGGCTCTGGAGAGTCGGATCTCCTTATCCCTGCCGTAAAGGGGACAGTCTCAGTGCTGGAGTCGGCGATGAAGCTTCCGAGTATTCGGAAGGTGGTCATCACGGCCTCGATTCTGTCCATTATACCGTTAACACCACCCGCGGATGGCGCAGTTGTGAAAGGTACCTCTCCTGGCTGCCTTCAATCCTAAGAGTACGAACCCACTAACATTAACAAGAGGACAACGACTTCGACTTCACCTTCGACGCGGAAAGTCCCGCTGCCCTCTCACCCATAGGCCAATACCACGCGAGCAAAATCGCCGCCCACAAGGCCGTGATCGACTTCGTGGCAACTAACAACCCGTCTTTCGATGTGGTGACCATTCACCCCGTCCTCGTCTTCGGTCGCAGTCTCGTTCAGGAAACTGCCGAAGAACTATCCGGTAGCAACGGGATGCTCTTCCAAACGCTTATGTCAGGGACTCCGTTCGGGAAACAATTCCTCGGCGTACACGTTAGCGATGTCGCCTCGGCGCATGTCAGCGCTCTTACGAGAAGCGGTAGCTCTATTAAGGGTGTACAGCCGTACCTTGTTTCGTCTAAAGCGCGCCCGTGGCACGAGGTGCATGATTTCGTGAAAAGTCGGTATCCTGGTCTCGATATTAAGCTGCCTCCGTTGGATACGTTAAGCTACGAGGTCGATACGACCAGGGCGCGCCGAGAGCTGGGGATTGAGTTTCTGGGGATGGAGGTGCAGGTTGCGGACCTTTTGGATCAGCAGTTGGAGTTAAGAGGGTAGTGCGTATCTAGTCATATTACCAGACCGCTAGTTGGCAGCGCTGATGTGGTGATACTGTACTTCCTCTAAGTGGGGCTACGGCTAGTTTAAGGGGTTAAATCCAGCTCATGCCAATTTAGATCGCTAATTTTGACCAATTCCAGAGCATTTGCAGTTTACCGAATTGGGATTCCTGGCAAGCCTTATGTAGAGGTTCATAAACTTTACTCTTAATGGGGAAACTGAAAAACTCGGCTAGCTTAAGCCATGCAGCCAAAATTGTTCTATAAGTGGGAGGGATTGATGTTGTAGTTCAAAGGAAGATAAATTGATTGTGCTTTCAGAGGGAAGACGTGAGGCTATTATATACACGACGAGAAGACCAAGTTGATTTCCAATCAACCAGTCAACTTGATGCTTCCTATAGGAATCGTGGGAATTAATTCCGATGATGCGGTTCTGTTCCTGGTCTGCACCAGCCTCATATCACAACAATTGCGCCTTGCCTGGGTAAGGAAAAGCAACCGCATCGAAATTGTATTGAGATTTGGTCTGATATATGGAGCTAATTGACCAAGGGGAACCAATCCAAAAAAGATGTGTTGAATTAAATTAATTGAAAAAAGATGAAAAGAGTGAATGATGCGAGGACAGGTTAGGATTTCCTTGCTTACAGGAGTACGGAATGGATGTCGCGATTCTCGGAGTGTCAAAAATCCTTAGTACAAATATAGAAATCACGATACAAATGGAACTAAACCATTCCTGGTGTATTTTACTGCCCCACTTTCCTCGTCATTAACTAATCATCGGCCAGGCTAACTCAATTTGCAGAGCAGGAGCGCTAGCACGAACCTTAATTGAACCCGCTCCAGTCGGTATCTGTTGATCCATCTGGCGTGGAACCTCATAAGCGCAATTAAGGTTCATTCTAGCGCATATGTTTCACAAATCAGGTTAGCCAGAGCTAGTACACAGGATGAACCGAAATTAACGCAGTTAACTAATTATCGGGCAAGCTGAGATAGTATGGGCTAGTAATCCTCTTTGACGAATAGGCAACACTGGTGACACGCGCTGTGGCCCTGAAACAAAAAAAAAGTGCGAAAAGTGAAGCGGAGCCGAGTGGTCACATGAAAGTCAAACGCTTGGTTTTGATAAGGTACCAGAAAGATACATGCATTTCGCTTTAGTATCGGCCAATCATACACATACCAAGTGGTGTAGCACAGTGGGGAATAAGGTGCGATGATTGGATGAGCATGGCTGCCAAAATATATCCGTAGAGTCAAAATGGATTGAACAGAGGGGTCTCCTCGGTATAAAATGTGTATGTGCATTCATCTGGCGAATCAGCATCACGTGTGACGTGGACCTCCTTTAGCTGATCCATTGCACGACACAATGACCTAGCAGGCTGAAGGAATAAATGACATTTGTGTTTATATAATCTATTAGTGTGAGTCGCACGTTTACATGTCCGAAGCTTCTTGCCACATAGCAGTGGCGCACTCGTATTCCTAATACTGCACGCCCCCCACCTGGCGGTGAGGGTGCGCATCAGTAGTAGGTTAATCGTCACAACATGGTCAAATTTGAAGCTGTTTACACGATTCCTTAACGCAACAGTTTCGAATGAAACGTAAAAATTAATCCACCACCTGCTGCTGCCTTTTCTGTATCTAAATATATCTGATTTCCCTGCGCAACCTCGGCTAAAGATGGTTGGTTCTGCTTTTTCTTGGCCTCTCTTGCTACGCGTTTAGCCACCTTCACTGCTTCCTTCTGCTT